CACTAATAATGGTTGGAGACGGCTTGAATGGGTCTCCAACCATTATTAGTGACGTGTCTGTCTATAACAGTCTTCATGAAACATGGTGTTGTCGCAAATTTATAACGATATCCTTCAGAGTACGTGAGATTAATCTTCAACGTGATTATTGAAAGCCAAACCGTATTAGTTACTCTCATCAAGTGACGGTTTCCAAATGTCCAAGATCTTATTTCATTGCACAACTGCAAGAGGCAACAAATTCAAAACGATCGTTAATATCTACCTTCCCTTTTCCAAGGGGACCTGGAATGTTTACCTTTACTATCTTCTCAATCCCACAGCGCCCTGCTAAATGAAATTTCTGTTTCTTGTTGTGTTTGCTGACGTTAATCGTATTGTCTGGATGGGTGCTAACTTCACAACCGTCTGCACTGTAAAAAGTTGTGTTGTATATTAACATAAACATTGTGTTATTCCACGACAATACAGACTGTGTTTCAAAACACAGACTTACGCGTATAGCGCGATTGGTGTAGAGATATAAATACACACATTTTGTGTTTTCAAATAGCACAAATGATATGTGGTATCTAATTCAAAATGTGTCTATTTAACCGTCGTGCTGTGAAGTTATCGCTTTATTATATGTATGTAAATCATTTAAAATTCATCAAAAAGATTGTGCTTTAGTCAACACATTCGTGTTCTGTTTTCTTAGGCCTGGCATGACCAGGTGGTTAGGGCGCTCAACTCGCAATCTGATGGTTGCGAGTTCGAATATCCGTCCCACCAAAAATGCTCGCCCTTTCAGTCGTGGGGCCGTTATAACGTGACAGTCAATCCCACTACTTGTTGGTAAAATGTTTGCTCTTTCTAAAACATTTATTTGCCTAACTTACATTAGACCTGACTGGTCCAACTCTAAATTAAGAAATAAAAACAAACCGTGGCTCAATAGAGTGACATGTTTTTAGAAAATATCATTTCAAATTAGTTTTTTTAGAAATGTTTTAGAAACTAATTAATCTATAATAGAACAGACAATACTTTAAAGAAATCGTCTCTTTCACGTAGCAACAATCACTAAGATAACGTTAATATAAAGATTTCAAACTGTCTTTTCTATCAGTTTACAAAAAGTGAAGATCATATGAATAAAGTAATTAGGTT